TTGATCAACTTTGAATCGCCATGGCAGGATATTTTCGATGGAAGAAGCAACAATCTAGCATCTTATTTGACGAAGACGGCAGGAAACATTTGTGAAGCCGAGTTATTTACGAAAGCGAGTGTCGATGAAGAGAATCGATCAATATAGATAGGACCTATTGAAAAGTGACGCGAGATTTGTTTTCCGTACTGAGCTCCAATGCTACCGACGCCAGGGAGGCAGCTCCCACACCTGGACCCTACCAATCGACCCATCAACTCAACCGGAGACCAACGGCTTTACTTCCCGAAGGAAGGCGTGATCAGAGATGTTATGCCTTAGAACATGCCGGTGGCGCCGACTGAGATTGGACCCAGGCCTGCTGGGGTGAGAGGTTATCACGCTAACCACCGGCGCCGATATCTTTTGATATCACGGCGAATGAGATCAACCCAAATTTGAGTTTAGTAATCTCAGAAAGAAGAAATAAGTGCAGGAACTCAGTGATGAGTAAATTTGCCTCATGTTTTCCCAGGTTTTTCCAGGATTTTCCAGGGAAAAAATCCCGAATTTGAGAAAAGTAAATATTGGATTCACGCAGTCTATTGATACTACTCTGAGACTGAATAAAATTTTCGTCAATTTCCTCATTTTCTGGCAGATTTTTTAGGTTTTCCACAGGAAACCATGAGACAAATTTACTCATCACTGAGTTCCTGCAGTTTTGGCGATTATGAGTGAACTAAACTCAAATTTGGGTCGTTCTCATTCGCCGTGTACGCAAAAGGAAAAGAGCCAGTGTCGCTACTTGCTAGCAAACTACTCATGATGGGAGGAGTCTTTGTAGCTTTTATACCACTTGGTTGCACATCATTCTGCTTTAACCTGAAAAGATATAAAAGAGCGCTGCTGTATGGCATTAGCTCATTTTCGCTTCGGACGGCGTGGTGAACAGCAATAGCAGCAGTATGAAGGTGGTGGCTAGTCCACTCCTTCACACCCAACAAGCAACAATTGACTGGTCGTGGCAAAGGAGGAAAAGGTTTGGTAAAGGAGGCGCCAGCGTCATCGCAAAGTTCTTCGAGATAACTGCCATCGGTCGTCTGGCTCACCACGGTGGTGTCAAACGTATCTCCGGTCTGATCTACGAGGTGTGCTGAAGGTGTTCCTGGAAAATGAGGTCCAAGATGCTGTCACCTACACTAAACACGCCAAGCGTAAGTGGCCATGGATGTCCTCTTCAATAAAACGGCCCTTTTACAGGGCCATCAAGCTTACATCAGTAAAGAGTTGGAATATAATTTATCTGTGCTTGTTTGTCCATATTCAGAACCACAAGCCCCCAAAGACCACACAAAATGCTCTCCAGAGTTGTAATCTTGTAATCCAACTTGGAAGCAGGGGTGCAAGTGATTTTGATTGATTCTCTTAATCAACTTTCTCTTTGAAAAAAATTACTACAAATTTGGTACGCCTACAATTCAAAAACGGAAAGAGTTGAGATAATAGATAATTGATCAATTAAAAGAACTAAATGCTCTTCACATTTATTCCGTCCTCTAGCGGTCCTACGTCAAGCTTCCGTTCGTGCCCCTAGGCACAGACCCTTCTACTTTTTGTTCATTGTCTTCTAGCCTTTTTACATATTGTTCTGTTAAAAAATTCTATTGCTATTCTTATGGAAATTTTTATCAGCTAAAATTTTTCAGAAAATCATTTTTCAGCCAAACGTCAAATTAAATAGTTATTAATTGTTTAAGAGATTGATAATCTTATGGCAAGATTAAGCAACTGTATTGTAGGCAACACTGTATTCTGCAGTGAGACATAGTAGCCATGATTTTTATCCTCTACTAGCTGAGTGTGCCCGGTCTTGCTCGGGATTCAATATTAGCTTGATTTTATGCGCCGATTTAAAAAAGCATGCTATAATTACGTAGCCCCCCCCCCTATTATCTAAGGGGCTACCCCCTATGATTATCTCCTTATACCCCCACACTCGCCCCCACATGCCAAATTTGGTTCCATTTGCTTGATTAGTTCTCGAGTTATGCAGAAATTCCTGTTTAGTTTGTATGGGAGCCCCCTCTTACAGAGGAAGGAAGGGTCTCAAACCATCATAAGAACCTTTACCGGCCCCAAAAACCCCTGCATACACATTTTCACGCCGATCGGTTCAGTAGTTTCCGAGTCTATAAGGGTCAGACAGACAGACAGACAGACAGAAATTCATTTTTATATATATAGATAGATATAGATTCTACGCCAATGTTGCCTACTGAACAGTTGATCGAGCATAATCATAAGACATCAGTGACTTGAATCATTAATTTCAATTAATTTTTGTTCCTTACATTTGATCGAAAAGTGGTCTTCAACAAAGTTGTAGCTGAGAAAATTTTCAACAAGCTTAGCTATCATTTTCTAAAGTAGAGTGAGCTGGTGAATTTTGAGATCGATATGAACCAGAATTATGGTTTCTCCATAGTAATTCCCATATAAACTTCAAATGGTTTGTGCCAAGTCAGTTTCTAACTCAATGAGTTCAAATTTTGGGAGGCTAATCAGGGCCCAATTTGGAACCGTTCGAGCACTGCGGAGCGAAAATTTCAAATTTTGCATCAGTCTAATCACCATCCCCGACGACGACACGGAATCCACTCTACAGCCAAAAGAAGCTCCGCCGGTCCGGATGAAGAAGGCTACCCTAAAAAACCTACCCGCAGTAGGGAGGATCAAACTATTGGAACTCCTCAACGAGGAGTGGCTAGACAACTCTCTCACAGATTGGTTGTTCCCATCAAGAAAATCGAATCTCGCTCACTTGCTGCAGCTACAAAATCATGGAGCGGATGATTAACCGTCGACTCATGCGCTTCCTGAACGACCACAACCTTCTCGATCACCGTCAACACGCGTTCCGTCCAGGGCACAGTACTAATACGTACTTCGGGACGCTCAGACAGGCCCTCCATGACGCAATGAAACATAACCAGCATGTGGACTTGGCAACGTTGGACATTTCAAAGGCGTATAACCGAGCCTGGATGCCGGAGGTCATCCAACAACTACACTGAAAATAAAATTTCGTTTATACAACGAAATCGCTCGTTTGTTCTACGAATTTATTCGTTGTTTTTTGCAACGAAATTGATTTGTACATTGTACGAAGCTAGTTTCGTTAGAACTGCCACACTTGCTATCGCTACACCCAACCAGCGGGCCACAAGTGTTGGTTATGGAGACCGAAAAATGTGGAATGTGTTACCTGTTGGAAGAAATACAATGACAAAAACAAAATAAAAAAGGGTTTAGAACAGACTCGTATCATGAACCCTGCGATAGTCAGATCTGTGCCTTATCCGTCACTCTATCTGTGCTACAAGAAAGGGATAGGCTAAAGGCAAATAAGAAGTACTCATGGAGCGGTAATTCGATTTCGTTTGTTTTTTCTGCTGCTTGCATGTATTTTTTTCCTCTGACATAAAACCACCGAGACAAGTATTTTGATTTATAATGGTAGCTTGCATGTATTGGTAAAACCGACAATATTTAAAAAAAAATGTATTCCCATCTCAAATCTGCACTTTAGGCGACAATAAGCGCAGTTGTTGGTTTGATTGTACGAAGATAAATTTTTATATTATACGAATAAGGCGTGATATTGACATTGCGCCAGATGACAGGAAAAAACGAATGTTTCGTACCATTTATGAAAGATATGTTGTATGTACGATATTCATTTTTACGAAACGGTTTTCAGAGAAATAACGAAAATACATTTTCAGAGTATGCACACTACCCAACTGCATTGACGTAAACAAAATATCTCATTCGACATCCTTTTTCCATATGGCCTTCCTTCATATCGAAGTTATTTTTCTCCAACGCCATTTCGATTTAAAAGGAAAAAATCCGCTTATCTGCGTCTGCCTCCTCGCATACCTAAAAAAAACAAACTTCGCAAATATCACGTCACCGCCGGCCGGGGCCGGCGCAGGCAAAAGTTGTCCGTCACCTGGCAACAACAGAAAATAACCTCGCTCCATCTCGCTGGCTGTGCTGTGCTGATTGGCTGACCGCGGGACGAGCCACCAACGGTGGACCAATGGCAAACGACGAAATGTACGGGCTCGAGCTCACGCGCGGTCAGCGGGGCAAACGAACCACCTCATTAAACCGGGAATTGCAAAACAAAAAAACAGCACCAGCCATCAAACACGAAAAACAGGTTCGTCGCCAAAAAACAGCATCCCAAATCCATCTAAAAAAAATGTCTCCCAATCGAATGATCAGATGGTTGCCACACCACCACCAAATTCCTACCCGGGGAGCTTTTTCAACCCACCCCGTCATCGGCCTACTGATGCGAGAACATGCGAAAGCTCACCGCCTGCCGCCTGATGACGAGTGTGTATGTATGTGTACGAAGGAAGTGGAAGAGAGGAGAGAGCCCGTGTGACGGTGACCGCGTGAGCAAAATACCAACCGTCTCCACTTGAACGCGGTACTTTCGATTGGATCAAGTGGATTCGTTATAATGCAGGAATTTTGCCATTGAATTGGAATACCTTCATTGCGAACGAGTTGCATCGAAGTTTGTCAAAACAATCGCTTAGTCGGGAATATTGTTTACGTGTCCACTCCAAACCGGACCTGTTCCGAAGGAGATGTTTACGCTTTTGCCAGACGCACATTCGTTGCGTCGTCGTTCAAATGTAACTCAAAAGCGCTGACTCTGCTTGGCAGCAGGTTATGGTAATTTGAGCAACTCGTTTGAATATACATTTCCGCAGTGGCCAGATGTGGGGTGAGTGCGATCAATGGAAAATTTGCAATCAACTTTTGTCGTAACCTACTCGGTAGGCACCTTGGGCTATGATCATTTTGTTTACGGTCCTTTTCATTGATCTCAACTGATATTTCCAGTGGATTTTCAATTTGTCTGATAAACGTCATTCCACAATCCGATATATTTTAGAACTGATGTACTAATAGCACCTGCTTCTACCATCCCACAGGTGATCCGACTACATTCGGCAACCTCAAGCCCGCTCCGGAAATCATCGACGCCATCCGCAAGGCCGTCGATAACGGCTCACGGAACGGCTACGGACCCAGCACCGGATTTCCCGAGGCTCGCCAAGCCGTCGCCGAGTACGTATCGCACCAGGGCGATGTTACACTGAACGATGTCATCCTTTGCAGTGGTTGCAGCTGTGCACTGGACCTGTGCCTCTCGGTCCTAGCCGGCCCAGGCCAGAACATACTGATCCCGAAGCCAGGATTCTCCATCTACCGCACCCTGGCCGAGGGCTTCGGAGTTGAATGCCGTTACTATGACTTGATACCGGAGAAGAACTGGGAAGTGGACCTGGAACAACTGGAATCGCTGATCGATACGAACACGGCTGCCCTGATCGTGACCAATCCGAGCAACCCGTGCGGAAGCGTCTTTAGCAAGAGCCACCTGGAAGCCATCCTGGACATTGCCGAGAAGCACTATCTTCCGATCCTTGCCGACGAAATCTACGAACATTTCGTATTTCCGGGTCAGGAGTTCTTCGCGGTCAGTTCGCTGTCCAAGAAGGTACCGGTGCTATCGTGCGGTGGACTGACCAAGCGTTTCCTGGTTCCCGGATGGCGCATGGGTTGGATTGTGATTCACGATCGGGATAATCTGTTCCAAGACGTTCGCAAAGGACTGGCCAATCTGTCCGCGCGAATCCTCGGAGCCAACACCCTGGTGCAGGGTGCACTGCCCGACATCCTGAAGAACACTCCCCCGGCGTTCTACGATGACTTGGTTTCTACCCTTTATGTAAGTCTTTAACTTCTTTACCTAAGCAACGATCCAAACTAACTAATGCTATTCCACAGCGACATGCCGAGATGGCGTTCAAGTCGATTAAGCATATCCGTGGGCTCCGTCCGATCATGCCCGGTGGGGCCATGTACATGATGATCGGCATCGACATCGAACGGTTCCCGGAATACGAGACAGATCTGGAGTTTGTCCAGGGCCTGGTCGCCGAGCAGAGCGTGTTCTGCCTGCCGGGCCAATGCTTCGAGTATCCGAACTACATCCGGATTGTGCTCACCGCTCCGGAGGATATGATCGTCGAGGCGTGCAAGCGTTTGGAGGAGTTTTGCGACAAGCACTACAAGCTGGACGATAACGTCATTTTGAAGCAACAGCAGAATGGTTTCCTGGCCAAGCTGGCGCAGTACTGAGCCTGTGTTTTTGTTTTATCTCGTGTGCCATTGTTTGAACGAGGTGCCACATGGCGAGGAAGGAATATTTTACTCTTCTTATTCTACAGTGCCTTTCGAGATTGAATTGTTTAACTCACACTTATAAACCACAAGTATAGCCAACTGCATTTTATATATCTCGTATGAAACAAAAATAAATATAGCCATCCATTATATACACCTTAAAAGCGATAGTTTTATTTCGAGAAGAGTGTGTGTGTGTGTGTATTAGAGTGATGCAAAATTTAAAATTTTCGCTCCACAATACTTAAACGATTCCAAATCGGATCCTGACTAACCTCTCAAAATTTGAACCGATTTGGTGAGAAACTGAGATGGCACAAACCATTTGAAGTTTGTATGGGAATTAATATGGTAAAACCAAGATTTTTGTTCATGTCTATCTAATAATTCACCATATCGGTCTGCTTCAAAAGTTTTCAACTGTACTTGTAGAAAATTTTCCCAGCTACAACTGAAGATCACTTTTTGATTAAATGCAAGGATCGAAAGTTTTCAATGGTTCAATGCGCTGATGTCTTATGATCATGCTCAATCATCTGCTCAGCAGGCAACATTGGTGTTTCTGGGGCGTTGAATAGGACACACAAATCATGGCTACTATGTCACACTGCAAAAGTGTTGCCTACAGAGCAGCTGCTTGATCATGTCATAAGTTTACCAATCTCTTAAATAATTAATAAATTTTTCCTGTCTCGTTTTACATCTTTAGCAAAGTTGTAGCTGAGAAAATTTTCTATAAGAATGGCTATCTAACTGTTTCGCTGCTCAATATGGAAAAAGACTAGAAGGCAATGAACAAAAAGTTGAGATTTCCCATAGTAATTTACATGTAAACTTCAAATGGCTTGTGCGAAGTCTGTTTCTAACCAAATGAGTTGTAACTTTGGGAGGCTAATCAGGACCCGATTTTAAACCATTTAAGCACTGTGGAGCGAAAAAGTCAAATTATGCATCAGTCTAGTGTGTATGTGTCTCTATATGTGTTGATCTTTGATTTCTAGAAGATTTATCAAACGCTTTATTCCGTTTTTGATTTTTCTAAATCTTTCAATTTTTTTGAAAAACTGTATACGATCCCAAGCTAATTAATGCACCCCTTGAAACATAGGAAAATCCACGAACCCCTCAATTTATCTGTCAAATTTTCATAGCAAATCAATACAAACATAATGTAGTACTAGAATTTCGACTAGAATAGGGTACGTTAATCGATTTGCTTGGGACCATAGGCTAGTCAAGTAGTGAGCCAATTTAAAATCGTTAGTTTCCACCCGGTAGTAAAGCCGGTTCATGAGTTGATGGGTCGATAGGTAGGGTTCAGGTGTGGAAGCTGCCCAGGGGGTAGACCACTCTGCCACCTTGTGACTGTGCTGATTGTGTTTCTTGTGTATTTTTGGGTGTTTCAGTGTGTTTCTGTGTCGAACAAGCTGTCAAAACGTCAAGTGCAACATATGTTTACTGGCAACCATGATTTCCACACGCTGAAAATGACAGATCCCCCTGCGATCGTAAGTTGTTTATCGGCGATGACGGTGACTCTGTAGCTCCTTACTCCTATGGTAAAATCCAATTAGCAAATGTCAGACTGTGCAAGATACATGGTGGACATTTTGTACTATCCTTTCCTACACCGAAAATTCCCATAAGAAACTGTCAATATTTGCAAGAAGAGTTGCTTTTTCGACGGTGCCATCAACGCCAATTATACGGAACAAAACACAACGGGCCGGAGGATTATTTGATCCCAACACGATACAGTCCTAGGAAGGTTAAAACTGGGTTTAGACAGGGCAAGTCAATTGATCAAGTCAGTTGAATTCAACTGACTTGAACGTGAATTGAACGTGTAAACCATGCCATTCAACTGACTTGATCAACTCACTTGAATTGAAAAAAAGTTGAACCAGGCTCAACTTTTCAAGACAATTGAATTCAACTGAGTTGATCATTTAACTTGCCTAGCGTGATTACCTCTCACCCCAGCAGGCCTGGGTTCAATCCCAGTCAGCGCCGCCGGGATGTTCTGAGGCGTAACATCTCTGATCACGCCTTCCTTCGGATGGGAAGTAAAGCCGTTGGTCCCCGGTTCATGAGTTGATGGGTCGATAGGTAGGGTCCAGGTGTGGGAGCTGCCTTCCTGGCACGTCGGTAGCATTGGTGCTCAGCACGGAAAACAAGATCGACGGAAAAAACAAACCAAAGGAAAAAAAAAAAAATTGACTTGCCTAGTCTAAACCCAGCTTGAAAGTATGGTTTTGCGTGTGTATGGAAATGTGAACGAGAAATAGGTACATACCACACCGCAACAACCCGGTCGACTGGCATCATGTCCTCATCGGTAAGAGAAACGTATACGTTCCTCATGATCTCCAAATAGATGGCGGTCCCTCTACTTCCAACAACGGTTACCTTTAAATGCTGCACACTTAGAAATACCTAATTTTACACGTGACGGAATCCATCTTTGACATAAAGCATACGACGTAAACAAACAAGTCATGTAAAATTAAGTGCTCTGAGACTGAAAAGTTCGTTACTCGACGAAAAGTACGTTTGATAGAGCTGCATTTCGCGTCTAAAGGGTGATACGGTCAATATTTGGTCAATATCAACTTGACGTATTTCTTTCAAGTTGCATTTAAAAAACCTGAACACCTCTCATTTTGAAGGTGTGTGTGTGTAGAATGTTGCTCCTATTTTGATTTTGGAATTCACTCTTCAGTTGTCAAAATGCCGTCCAAGCAAGAAGAGCAGCGTATCAAAATTTTGCTCGCGCATCGCGAAAATCCGAGCTACTCGCACGCAAAGTTGGCAAAATCCTAACCTCTCTCTCCGAGATGCCGCAAATAAGCTGGGTGTATCGTCTACAACCGTGCATCGAGCCAAAAAACGAGCCGGACTATCGACTTACAAGAAGGTAGTGACTCCAAATCGCGATGATAAACAAAATACGACGGCCAAAGCGCGATCCCGGAGGCTGTACACGACGATGCTGACGAAGTTTGACTGCGTGGTAATGGACGACGAAACCTACGTCAAAGCCGACTACAAGCAGCTTCCGGGACAGGAGTTTTATACGGCAAAAGGAAGGGGAAAGGTAGCAGATGTTTTCAAGCACATGAAACTGTCAAAGTTCGCAAAGAAATATCTGGTTTGGCAAGCCATCTGTACCTGTGGCTTGAAAAGCAGCATTTTCATAGCTTCCGGGACTGTCAACCAAGAAATTTACGTGAAAGAGTGTTTGAATAAACGTCTGCTGCCTTTCCTGAAGAAACACGGTTGTTCCGTACTGTTTTGGCCGGATTTGGCATCTTGCCATTACGGTAAAAAGGCCATGGAGTGGTACGCCGCCAACAACGTGCAGGTGGTTCCCAAGGACAAGAACCCTCCCAACACGCCAGAGCTCCGCCCAATTGAGAAATACTGGGCTATTGTCAAGCGGAACCTAAAGAAGACCAAAAAAACTGCTAAGGGCGAGCAGTAGTTCAAGGCAAACTGGCTTTCTGCGGCGAAGAAGGTGGACAAGGTGGCTGTACAAAATCTGATGGCAGGGGTCAAGCGTAAGGCCCGGCAATTCGGATTTGGAAAAGCGGAAGCCTAACTGAATATTTTTCCTGAGTTTTATACTAATTGAACTTGAAAAAGAAATTTAATTTGATTTTTTAAATAAACGATTTCACCGATTTACACGCGTTTTCCCTTGACCAAATTTTGACAGTATCACCCTTTATTATGACTCAATTTTATGTCAAAATTGACGCTCGTATATGTCAGTCTCAGAGCACCTAAATTTACATGATTTTTTCTAAGTGTGTGGATTAAATACGATGCCATCAGTTTCAGCGAGGGATCGAACTTCATCTTGTCATTTGGGTTCAAATCAGAGGGATTGATTTTATGAACCCCTTTACACCCTCGCTGAACCATTTCGTTCACTACCCAGACAACCAGAATGTACGTATATTCAAAGTTGTTTTTGTGATATACAAACATATATACAAACAAACAAATCGTATAGAATGCAAAAAAAGGGCCTATACCTACAAAAGTGGAGGCCATATACGTGCAAATTTAAAATTCTTTTTAAACGAGTTGATTTGACATTATATACGATTCAAACTGTAATAACAAATTTAATTTGAAAAACCTTACGATGTAATCCGATTTAATTTGTTTAACAGTACGATGAAAAAAAGATTCGTCGTATTTAAGTCGGAAATTTGCATTCTATACGATTTAACTTAAACATAATGCGATGTATGTCATACTTATATGCGATGTTGACTTAAACTGTAGTTATTTACGATACTTTCTGTACATTGTTATACGACTTCTGGTTGTCTGGGTACGGCGACGACGAATTGTCCTACAATTAATGGTGATGTTATGTCATACATATTCTATAACTTTTCATATGCATTAAACTTTTTACCTAAACGCATATGCCGCTTCGGGTCCAGCAAAGCATGGCGTAGCTTGTTTACGAGGTGCACCGTATCCTGGATGCACACTGGTTCACTGGTGAGACCAGCATCAAAATATGGCCCATACACTTTGCTGGAAAAAGAGCTAGGTACTGCTGACCTTTCCTTCATCGCCTTCAGCAGTCGAGGGTCGCCATCCGATGAGATGCTGACCACCGAGATTCCAGCTTTTTTCAACTCGGCTTCTACAAAAGCTCACATCTGCATATGTAACCTGGTTGTCACTACACATGAATCCAGTATTTTACGATCGCTTGTGGCCGCCACAATCTGGCTGAGTTTCTGGTAGGGAACATAAGATTTGAAGTTTGGCTTGTGTCGCTTGACGTGTAAACGTTCAAATTTGAACGTTTACACTTCGACACAACCCAAACGTCAAATCATATGGTCCTTACCAAAAACTCAGTCAGATTGTGGCGGCCATAAGCGCTCGTAAAATGCTGGATAATATGCAGATTATAGACACTGTATATAGACCGGACAATGTAAAATCATGCAATCTGGTAGTCCTGATAAATGTCATTAATTTGAAAAATAAATCTGGCATCACTTGAATTTGTTCAAACTTTCAGGGAGCAGCTCAATAGACCTCTTTAATCGTTGGTCCCGGCCCATGTGTGTTGTGAATGGG